CTCCAGAGTCTCTAAGCATTTCTTCACCTTATCCCCCACACCTTCCCTAATTTGAACCTATGCACCTGCACCCTCTCATCCTCCCCACCTTGACCTTTCCTTTCCATCCAGCCTGGCCAGTTGACTACTCTGATGAACTCATGGGTTTACAAGCACCAACAGGTGCTACCTAACATAGTAATACCAATCACTGACACTATGGAGCCAGACACTGTTCTAGCCCACTTCAGAAGCATTTTCTTGGTTAAGCCCTCATAACCATCGTCTGAGGCAGTTACTATCCTTATGCATATTTTACAGATGAAGAAACTGAACTTTTTAAAATATGAGCCTTGTTCCCAATATGGATTTAAGTAAGTGGCATCATGACTACCCAACTAAGGAAGAGAGAGAAAGCTAGCGTGTCTGCAAGTGAGCTATTTTGAGACACTACAGAGTTGTAAATCATGCTATTTCTAGGACTACCTACTCTTTTAACCCTCCTTGACATAAAATATGATCCATTATTCTAACTTAATATATCTAGCTTCACACCTCACATTAAAATAATAGCACCTGGCCTTCTGGAACATGAACAGCAACCCAAGAGGATTCTGGCTATAGTGAGCCACAGTGAGCAGGTGGCTGGTAGGAGAACTGTGTAGAACATAAAATGATGAAATTCTAATCCAGCCCTGGCCCTCCGTAACAACTGCTTTAGGAAAGTCACTGAAGAATCTGTTTAATGCAAGTAATAGCATTGCTGAATGTGTAAGCTGGTACTCCTTTTCTGAAGGGCAATTTCAATATGCCTACTACAGCAACCGGCAGCTCATGACTAGATGTCAACAAAATGTGTACAGCAGGACATTCACTGCAATATTTTCTATAATAGCAAAACACTGAAAACAACCTAAATGTTGATTAGTGAGGGAGTTAACTCACAGCACCGTGTATATAATAACACATAAATACACATGAATACCATGCAACCATTAAAAAATATATTGCTGGCTGGGCACGGTGGCTCACACCTATAATCCCAGCACTTTGGGAGGCTGAGGTGGGTGGATCATAAGTTCAGGAGATTGAGACCATCCTGGCTAATACAGTGAAACCCTGTCTCTACTAAAAATACAAAAACTTAGCCAGGTGTGGTGGCATGCATCTGTAGACCCAGCTACTCAAGAGGCTGAGGCAGGAGAATTGCATAAACCAAGGCGGCGGAGGTTGCAGTGAGCCGAAATCACGCCACGGCACTCCAGCCTGGGTGACAGAGCGAGACTCCATCTCAAAAAAAAAAAAAAATACACACACACACATATACATATATATATATTGCTTATGTGTACTTATTAGCATGGAAAATAGACCACAATATATGATAATAATATATGAAAAAAAGCAGGTTAATAGCGGAAACCATTCCATTATGTTTTTTTAAAAAATGGCGAAGTACATATGTGTCTACAGAAAATAATGTCAAGATTACAGAACAAAGATTTACAGAGATGATTTCTATTAAGTTGAAATTCCCTGTAATTGTCGCTTTCTTCCTTAAAACTTTCCTGGTTTTTTAAATTCTTATACTGAATCAGTCTTACTCTTATCCTAACAAAAAAAACAACGCTGTTTTATATTTTGAAAAAGATAAAATGGAGCAACAGTAACTATTCCTGTTCACAAAGGGTATACTGTGGGGACTGCATGTTGTGTAGCACATCGTGCATTAATAAATAGGAAGCATTTGGACCAAGTTCCTTTTGGCTTCTTCAGCTCTAGGAATCTTCTTTCAGTTAATTTTTTCTTCATTAGTTAAGCTGCTACCCCAATACTGTCTGGATAAGAAATGAACCAAAGACGTCGAGGTGACAGCTGTATGCCAGGCACAAACAGATCAGAAAGCTCTGGAATTATTTTGGTTCTGGTTCTCCCCTAAGCAGACCCTGAGATAAAGTCCAAGTGCAGGTAGTTTAACTTGGGAAGCCGACAACATGATGGGCTGGTAGGGAAGAAAGTCAGAAGGGAGGGGAAGACACCAGCACGAGGTGTACTATCAAGCAAGTTCCACTGGGGGCAGCTGGAGCTTCATCCCACTGGGGAATCCTAAGGGACAAGTCAGGGCAAGTGGCTCAGTTATCCTGTGTGAGGAGTGAGGAAGTAGGGAATTTATCAACTAACTTTAATGAATCACAGGTTGAAGGCTACTCCCTGGGCACAGGAATTCTCTGGCTCTTCGGGCCTGCTCTGTGTGCAGGTCAAGTGGGCTCCAGGGACCAGAGAAAGCCCTCCAAGATGAGTCATGGGTACAGACAGTTGGAAATGGGGAAAAAATGCTAAGTGCCAGGGGTACTAAGAGGATATGTAACAAAAAGTGAGCTCTTTGAGAGGAGACATTACCTGATGGTCTGAACATGTTAAGAAGACAGAAAGAAACTAGGCAAATAAAAACATCAGATAATAACTCCTATTATTAGGAGTTATTAGGGGAAAAAACGCTGTGTGTAAAAGAAAAAAAAAGAAAAATTAGAGGGCATGGTGGTGCACACCTGTAGTACTAGCTACTAGGGAGTCTGTGGTGGGAAGACCGTTTGAGCCGGGAGGTGGAAGTTGCAGTGAGCTGAGATTGTACCACTGCACTCCAACCTGGACGACAGAGCGAGACCCTATCCTAACACAAAGAAAAAGAAGGAGGGGTTAGGTGGCTCACACTTATAATCCCAGTATTTTGGGAGGCCCAGGTGGGAAGATCACTTGAGGCCAGGAATTGGAGATTAGCCTGGGCAACATAGCAAGAGACAGGTCTCTACAAAAAATTTAAAAATTACTTGGGTATGGTGGTATGCGCTTGTAGTCCCAGCTGTTCAGGAGGCTGAAGCGGGAGGATCACTTAAGCTCAGGAGTTTGAGGATGCAGGGAGCTATAATTGTTTCACTACACTCCAGCGTGGGTGACAGAGCAAGATCCTGTCTCTAAAATAAATAAATAAATGGAAAAATGATACATTATGGCTGGGTGCAGTGGCTCACGCCTGTAATCCCAGCACTTCGGGAGTCCCGAGGCCACCAGATCACCAGGTCAGGAGGTGAAGACCATCCTGGCTAACACAGTAAAATCCTATTTCTACTAAAATTACAAAAAAAAAAAAAAAAATTAGCTGGGTGTGGTGGCACACACCTGTAGTCCCAGCTACTTGGGAGGCTGAGGCAGGAGAATCACCTGAACCTGGAAGGCAGAGGTTGCAGTGAGCTGAGATCACACCACTGTACACCAGCCTGGGACCACAGAGCAAGACTGTCTCAAAAAAAAAAAAAAAAAAGGTTACTACGTGGCTCTGTTGTGATTATCTTTACATAGCCATAATACTATAAACACTGACTAATGAAAATTACATTGTAACTACATGAGGAAGAGGAGGAGAAAAGACAGGTGCGTGGGTTTGAGGACAGGTTTAAGAGAGCCACACTGTAGAATTATTTGAGTCTTTCAGCTAGTTTACAGAAGACTTTGATAAGACGGCAGAAACAAGAATCACCACCAATACAATCAGGGTATCAAGACACCTCCATTATAAAACACACGGATATCTTGGGGTCAGCCTGCTTTGTATCAAACTGCATTCCAAGTTTCAAATAAAGGATTGACAAACCAACTTTCCGAAAACAGTTCTTTGCAATACTTAGGAGTGACTGTGGATAGCAGGCATTTCTCAAACCAGCCTCCTACTCCTCCTCCTCCTCACCGTCTGCTCCCCATTTGCCCTCTCCAATGCCTGATAGAATTCCAAAGTCTGCAATATTAGGTGTAGCCTTTGCTACTTAAGGCTAAACATAAACATTAAAATAAAGTAAAAAAGAATTCTAGATCCAGGGTTACAGTCTTTGATATCTGAGCCCACAATAAACTTCAAAATTAGATTTGCCTTGCAAAGGAGCTGAAGTCCTTTAGCCTATCATTATTTCTTAGCCTATCTGATGTGACCACCACCTTCCTACCCGTCTTTTAGTAATGCTTGATACATGGGTAGCGCCTTCATTTATAAGCATCTCCTCCTACTCTCTCATCTGACCTCAATGCTAACCTATTTCTCAGATGAGAACTCCACAGGCCACAGGTTGAGGGATCTGACAGACATCGCGGGGGGCCGGGGTGGGGGGCGGACAGCGACAGGAACAAGCAAGAGCGTCTGAGAAGGGCTCCTGTAGGTACCAAAGCTTCTCCACCTGTGGCCTCAGCTGTGGAGGGAATTCAAGGGGATGGAAATGGGGATGGGGACGGGGATAGGGGGATGAACTTAGATGGGAAAAAGGTGTTACATCTTCAATTTTGCTATCCTGCAAAGAAAATTTCCCATTTCTTTGCACTATGTAGCAAAGAGCCACAATAAAGAAGTACCTGTGACTGTCAACAGAAATCAAACATCCCCACTTCACATCGCGGTTGCTGCTGATCTCCTGAAACAAGGTTTGTGCAGACCCCAATGTCAACACTGCAGTAAGGCGTTACCGCTGCCGCTGGCTCCTGCGGTTTCAGCCCTTCATCAAGAAGCCGGTCTAGGACCCCCTCACGGGTGTGTTCTAATCCTTTGGGCCCTTAGTCGTTTAAGTCACGTTTTCCGGGAAGGAGTATAAACGCTTCAGACTACCAAGCCCGCCATTTAAATTGGGAACTTCAGAGGCCGGAACCCTGGAGCCAGGGACTCTCCCCGACAGCACAGGGTCGCCCCCAGCCCGCGCGCCCCCACCCCCTCGACCTCGCAGAGGTGGGGATCCCCGCAGGGTTACCTGGGGACCCCGTTAGGAACACGTGCCGGGCCATGCGGATGGGCAGGGGTAGGGGTCGCGGTCAGGGTAGTCCGGGTTGGGGTCGCAATCCAGGTCAGATCCGGGCCAGGGTCGCAATTCAGGACCCGCCCACCGCGTGTCGCAGGCCCCGCCCCCCAGCAGCACATCGACCGGAAGCACCGCCCTCAAGCCCACGCATGCGCCCTCTCCCGCGTCCTCAGTCCGCGCCTGCGCACTCAGCCCTGGGCGTTTGTGTCTGTGCCCGGGCAGTTCCTAAAAGACAGAGCGGGTTGTGAGGTCTCTGAGTTTCGTCCTGGGTTCTGGGCTTTTGTGGGGTTTTTGCAGAAATAAGTGCGTGAGAACCTCCGTTATTAAACTATTGCTGTTTCAAGTGAGCGCCATCACCCAAGTTCTGCCCTGGACCCCGCACCTAGGAGCTGAAATTGCCCTAGGCTGCAGGGACAGCCCTTTTGTAGAAGGTTTGGGTCCTGGAAGCATTCCTCAAAGCGGGATGCCAAGGTAATAACTCCAACTATGTTCTCAACCATTCCTCAGAGTATGATCAGCTGGGGAGTTTTACACTTGCTCTGATGCCTGGGTTTCACCTGCAGTAATAGGAAGTGTCAGAAGACAAAATTACAAGTTTAGTTTAAAGGTCTAATTGGCGGCCGCGCGCGGTGGCTCACGCCTGTAATCCCAACACTTTGGGAGGCCGAGGCGGGAGGATCATTTGAAGTCACGAATTCTAGACCAGCCTGACCAACATGGCGAAATTCTGTTTCTACTAAAAATACAAAAAAATTAGCTGGGCATGGTGGCGCGTGCCTGTAGTCCCAGCTACTTGGGAGGCTGAGGCAGGACAATCGCTTGAACCCAGGAGGCAGAGGTTACAGTGAGCTGAGATCATGCCACTGCACTCCAGGCTGGGCAACAGAACGAAACTCTTGTCTTAAAAAAATCTAACTGGCTTATATTTGGGATCTAGAATCGGGAAACATCATTCTATAAAGCAAAGAGAGTGTTCCAATGAGCTGCGCAGAGGAGGTTGGCTTTATGGGCAAAAAAAGGCTGAAGAACAGAACAAACAACTAAGGTGGGTATTTCAAAGTTATTTTCCTTATAGGGTAAAAACAGTTTGGACGTTGTTAGTGTACTGACTCAGGTTGGCTAGAATCTCCTGTTTTTTGGGAAAACTGGCCTGTTTCAAAGTTCATTTTTGTTGCATGGCACTTAGCACAAGTGACTTCATTCTGGTTTCGTCTTGTCTGCTAGAACCTAGTACAGGAGGTTAGTCCAAAACAACGGCCTCCCATAAATCTTGTTTAACTTGAGTAATTGGTCTTGGGCGAGTCCTGAGCGTCTGTATTTTTTTTCTTCTTTCTAAACTCCAGGAAGTTTCTAAATTGCACTAGGATTGAGAACCACTGGTGTAGGCAGACTTCCCGTCCTCAGCCATGCATAGGAAGCCCAATTTTCCCGCTTTTCCTTCACATTAAAGTGTATACCAAAGCCGGACCCAGCTGGAGGATCTCCTCTGGCAAAGAATTAAATAGCTTCTCCGTCTCACTTTACCACTGCAAATGTTCCAGCCAACGAATGCCGTGGCAGTGGCTTTGGGCCATATTTACCTGTAAACTCTTGTAGTCTTAACATGTGTACAGCTTGATTTGTGGTCAATCATTCCCCATCCTGGCTGTGAAAGCAATTCAGTGAGTGCTCAACTTAATTGGTTTGTGCCCACACATGGACTTCCTAGTTTCCCTTTAACCTGAGACATATGCCAATCCAATGATTGTCTAAAAAACAAAGTCAGATTTGTAAAATATAGCTGTCATCACCATTATTTCTGCAACATTTGTAATGCTATATTATTACAACAATATTTATTATCTCAACTGGTAATATAGGGCCTCTACCTTGATTTATTTTGCATTCCATGCATGTTGAGTACAATGAAAAGCTGATAAAGCAAAGCAAATCCATAGGAGGAGCTTCCAAAGAAAGGGGGGGAAGTATATGTATCTCTTGTATCAAAAATGTTAATTTTAAATGTAAATCATGCAGCATTTTCCATCACTGAAAAGCAGTTTGGATTTGCAAGGCTCACCGGAAGTTGGGTTATTTTGTTTTGATGCTGTGCCTGGAATTCTGGCATCAATTTCAGTAGCTCAAAGATATATGCAATCCAGGTATAGTGAATTGATGTGTCAGAAAACAGAAAAAAAAGACTTCCAAAGTTGAACGTTCTTTATCATGAAAAATGAATTATTTGGATTACATGGGTATCTTCATGTTAGAAAATTCATTGATTTGATGCTTAATTTCTTTCCTCTATGTGTTATTAGGCATCAATAACAACAAATTAGCTTATATCTCTTAGAGATTAACAACAAAAGATGACATAAATGTAAACTGATTTTAAAATAAATAGGATCTTAAAGTACTGTACCATACTGAATCTAACTTGTGCTTCTTATCTAATCAACATCCAGTGGATTGATGTTTGTGTCCCCCCAAATTCATATTGTTGAAATCTCAATCCACAAGGTAATGGTATTAAAGGGTGGGGCCTTAGGGAAGCAATTAGGTATTTAGGTCATGAGAGTGGAGGCTTTGTGAATGTGATTAGTGCCCTTACAAAAAGACAGGAGAAAACTTGCTTTCTATCACTCTGCTCTCTGCCTTGTGAAGATACAAGGAGAAGACTGCTGTCAACCAAGATGAGGGCCTTCCCCCAAGAACCTGATCATGATGGCACCTGATCTTAAACTTCCGCCTCCAGAGTTGCAAGGAGTAAATTTTTTTTGTTTCTTGAAGCCACCCATCTGTGGTACTCTCTTATAGTAGCCTGAGCTAACACACAAGATAGAATTACCTAAGGAACAGGTGATTACAATGATTTCTTCTTACAACACCTGGGTGCAGCCTCATTTTTGGCAGGATCCAGTATAATTCTTTATTAAAACAGTTTGTAGATACAACTCTACAGCCTCTACAATCGTAAAATATCCTAAAGTCCAAAAAACACTGTTTATTTTGTTTTCATATCTCCCTTTTCCCAGGACTGTCTTCATTTTTAAACTGCAAGTCCTGTGTCTTAGGAAGCCCTTCAATCCCAAGCAAACCAGGATGGATAGTCATCAAACTGTTAAAGGAATATATGGGAAGTAAACCAAAGGTTTTATGCAGTTAAACAAGATATTTCCTTCTTACAAATAAGGCAAAGGCTAATACTTTGTTGTAATCTGTTGTCTTTTCAGCGGTCTTTATAGAATGACAGTCTAATGCAGTCTAAACCTAAAGTCTGAGCCATTCATACCCTGAGTTCTAATCTCTGTGCAGAACAATGTTCTATCCTATCAGTAACCCACTAGGACAGAAGCAGAGATGACTCTACACCCCTCACCCCACCCTTTCCTGCACTGCACGCCTGAATGTCCCCCACACCCAGCCATTACTGGCATCTGGTGACATCTTCCTGGCTGGACACAGAACAAGAGTTCTGGCATATTTAGGATACAGTTTCCTAAGTACAGGAAAACTGAAAACAGAACAAAGAAAAAGTGTGGATGTGAAAATAACAAAGTGGAAAGAGAGACCATTGTGTTGTTTGGCCAGGCTACTGTTCATTTAACTGTATGGAAATAGCAGCTAAATTCTACTTTTAGGAACCCCCTTCCTCCCAGGCCCTGTGATTGATAGGAGTGAACCTCCCTCTTCTTCTCATTCTCTAAGGGGAGCATATGACCCAAACCTGGTCAATGAGATCATTTTATCTTCCCAGCCTCAGTGACTGACTCTGAGGAAGCATGTGACCCAAGCTAGGTCTACACCACCTCCACCCCTAGCCATTGGGGATCAAGGACAGCCACCAGCCAGCATGACTGAAGCAGTGGGACAAGGGAAAGTGAGAGGGGGTGTGAGAGGCCTCCCCTCCCACTCTCCCCAGGCACCCCTTACTCATCCTCCAGAATGGGCTCAACTGCTACTGCTCTGCAAGGTTTGCGTGGTTATCCAGGCCCAGCCCCTGCCTCTTTGGCCTTCCCTTGCAGCACCCTCATGATTGCTGGCATCTGCCTCTTCTCCTGCCACTCAGTTATGAATTCCTTCAAAGGCAAGACTCTAGGCTGGGCGCAGTGGCTCATGCCTGTAATTCCAGCACTTTGGGAGGCTGAGGCAGGCAGATCACTTGAGGTAAGGAGTTCATGATTAGCCTGACCAACATGGTAAAACCCCATCTCTACTAAAAGTACACAAATTAACCGAGTGTGGTGGTGGGTGCCTGTAATCCCAGCTACTCAGGAGGCTGAGGCAGGAAAATCATTCAAATCCAGGAGGTGAAGGTTTCAGTGAGCTGAGATCACACCACTGCACTCTAGCCTGGGCAAGAGAGTGAGATTCCACCTCAAAAAAAAAAAAAATCTAAAGAATCTTGCACTATTCATCTCTTTATTCCCAGAATATAGCATGGTACTTACAGCACATTCATCCATCACTGTGTGCCAGGAAATGTTGTATGTTCTGGGGATACAGCAGCAAAGAAGACAGTCTCTGTGCTGGTATAGCTTATATTCTGGTGGGAGACACAAACAGATTGACAAGTCCATAAATAAAATGCTGCAGAGTGGTAAGGCCATGGAGGAAAAATAAAAGGATGGGAAATGAAAAGGGAAATGGATGTGCTACTCCATAGAAGGTGGTCAGGGAATGTCTCAGGATATTACTGGTAATATAGCATCTGAGCAGAGAGGTGAAGGAAGCAAGCCCTGCAGGTGTGGGGGAATGGCAGCCTAGAGAGAGGCATTGGCATGTGCTGAGGTCATGACGTAGGACTACGTGGCCTGAGGAGGAACCAGGCAAGCCAGTGTGGCTGGAGCAGAGTAGGAGAGAGATGCATAGGTGATGAGGTCAGAGGGGCTCCAGGCAGCCAGATGGTTCAGGCCTTAGAGGCTGTGGTGAGGACTTGAGCTTTTACTGTAGCAGAGCTGGAAAGTCATTAGAGGGTTTTGACCAGAAGAATGGCATTATGTAATTCTTTTTAAAGGATCATCAGGCATGTGTGTAGGAAATAGATGACAAAAAGGCAAGGGTAGAAGCAGGAAGACCAATCTGAATGCTTCTGTAGGATCCAGCTGCTACAGAGATAATGTTTGCACATCTACTGGCACATGCTTACCATAGGTACTTAATGAATGTTTCCTTAAGCCAATGAGTGAATGAATGAATTGTATTCCCATAGACAGCATTGAACTGTTAGGGAAGGCAAAGAGCAGGGGCAGAGCAGCAGAAAAGTCCTACAGGCTTTCCCAGCTTTAAAGGATAGTTGGTCATTGAGGTAACCATCCAGTAATCATCCTCAGGCAATGTCCCCACAGGATAGGCATAAGACTTTGCTTGACCAAGCAAGTTGGGCAGGTCACTCACCTACTAGATGTTCCCCTTCCAATAACAACAACTGTGTATTAGTTGGCGCAACATACTACATATTAGAACAGCCAAGCCCCACTGAGAAGTCCCTGGTCACAATTCTGTGGTCCCACATCAAGTACACAGACACTGTCTCATCAACCTCTCTTTACGAAGGTCACCTGAAGTTACAGAGCTGGACTGGGGGAAAGAGTACCAGCTGAAAGAATTGCTTTAAGGGATCCCCAGGGGTGCTGATGGGAGAAGCAGCAATCCTACCTAGTTTGGGCAAACTTCTAGAATGGTGTTCCAAATTTCCTGCCTTTCAATCTGTATGTGCCAGGTATAACTCCCAAGACTGTGAATATAGTAGAAGATTCCTACTCTTGTGATTAGGTTATGTTATATGACCTTAACTTGACTTTAAGATAGAGATCATCCAGGTAGGCCTGACCTTACCATAAATTCTGGGCATTTTCTCTGGCTGGTGCCAGCAGAGGCAATCAGAGATTTGAAACCTGAAGATTCAACACATTTTTGCAGACTTAAAGGAGAGACAGCTATGTGATAAGGGTGCAGATAGACTCCAGGGCTGAGAGGCAACTGATGTGAGCAAGGAAATGAGGACCCCAGTCCGTCAACCACAGACACCTGAATTTAGTAGAGAATAAGGGTGAGCTTGAAACTGAATTTTCCCCTAGATCCCCCAGGTGAGAACTCAGCCATTCTGAGCAGAACACCCAGCCACACCATATCTGGGCTTCCTTCAGAACTGTGACCTGATAAAGGAATAAGTTTTAAGTTGTTATATTAGTAACTTGTGTTAACAAAAGACCATGAAATCTTCAGAGGAAAAAGGGAGAGTTTCATTTTCCATTTTTTTTTTTAAAAAGTGCCAGGAACAGTGGCTCACGCCTGTAATCCCAGCACTTTGAAAGGCTGAAATGGGTGTATCACGAAGTCAGGAGATTGAGACCATCCTAGCTAACATGGTGAAACCCTGTCTCTATTTAAAAATACAAAAAATTGGCTGGGTGTGGTGGCGCACACCTGTGATCCCAGCTACTTGGGAGGCTGAGACAGGAGAATCGCCTGAACCCAAGAGGCAGAGGTTGCAGTGAGCCGAGGTCAAGCCACTGCACTCCAGCCTGGGCAACAGAGCGAGACTCTGTCTCAAAAAAAAAAAATACCGTGCAGGTTTGGGGAGGCACAGGCTTTACTCAAGTGACAGCATGCTCTTCCAAGAAGAACAAAGGAAGGATCTGACATCGTCAAAAAAGGTTGCTGCCTCAGTTCTCAATCAAGTCTGTTTATGCAAATGAAGGATTCAGATTTGCTCAGTTCCGATTGTTGGAAATAGTTGAGGCCTTATTGGGTGGTTTTCAAGCCCTAAACCAGAAGTCTCTGACAGATGTTTCTTCTAAACGTTAGGGTTGGGTGACTTGGGGAGTGGGCATTTGGGCCACAGTTTATCTTGGCTTTGGTTACAGGAACCATTCTGGCTCTGGGTTGGAAAGTGGGATGTTTTTCAAGAGCTGCCTTTCCAAGAATAAAGGAGTGTGTGACCTCTCTTCTCTCATCCTGCTATAGCCATTTGGTTCTGTTTTATAAATTTGGGTGTCTCTATCAGCCACAGGAAGCCCACGTCATCTGGAGAGTCTGGGGTCTTATTTACAGATTTATTTCACATTGGTGGTGCAATAATAAGAATCTAATACCCCACCCACACAACTGCACCCCCATTGGAGACCTTTCCAAGCCAAGCACAGCCCCAGGCTCTGGCACTTGATGACTATCAATGAATTTGTGAACATGTTTTAAAACTACTACACCTTCAAATAGACCTCCCAGGAAGGAAGCACTTTATGTATTTTAACCTGCTGAATTCTTATAAAATTTTCTGGGGTAATTTCCCACTAAATTCCTCTTTATAAATAAATAAGTCAAGCCTTGGAGACCTTTGAGTATCCTGTCCAAAAAACAGTCAGAGAACTATTAGGTGCCAAAGGGGAGACCTGAACTCACCCTTAACATCTAATGGTAGATGCTAACTCACCCTTAGTATCTACTATTAGAAGTGGTGCTTTCCAAGGTAACAGAGTAATAATTGTGTGGATGTGTGTGGGCGCATGCAAGCACATGCATGGAGGTTTACAGGTGTTGGAAATATTTTTATACATCCCACTTTATTTGACCAGTTACTCCACACTCACACATACTGTTGTGGGACAGACATGGGGAAAATGGAGCTTTGTGGAAGCTTTGGGTCATAGTAAAGACCAGTAAGATAAGTGAAAATAAAAGATGCTTTTCTGACTATGGTCAGTGTCCCCTGCCCTGGGCCACACTCTGGGGCCACTCCTTTGGCTGTGTTGTGTGTACTTTTTAAAAAGCAGGCCCATTATCAGAGCAGATGCAGAAAACCCATGCAGGTGATGGTTGATTAATGTCACTGCAAGAGTCCACAAAGAATGATGAACCAGCCAAAATGAAGGAAACTCTCGTTAGCCTCATATCAAATAATGGCAGGAAACAAAGATTTTTAAGGGTGAGCTGTGAAGGACAAGCCGGGAGGTGAAAGAGAAAAGGAAGCCTGTGGCACAGCTTCTGTTTGGCTTTATAGTCATTTCATGAGGAATCCTGACACTGTGCAGCTACGTTTCGTTCAGGTTCATATTCATTCATTCCACTTGGATTCCATCAGTGGAGAAACTGTTGTTTGAAAAATAATGTGGCACTTATTCTGGTTTGAATCTGCCTCTGATGAGTCGAAATTTAAAAAAATCACTGTATCTAATGAATATTCAACAGCTTGTCTAAAGAGAGCTGGATATTGAATATACCTATCTCCTTTCCTCCCTCTCTCCTTTTCTCCCTCCCTTCCCTTTCTTCCTTCTTTCCATCCTTTTATTCCTTCC